GTCCTCACCACCCTCAACCTTGTCTTTGCTGGCATCGAAACTGAGTTTCACCTTATGTTATTAATTCTTGCTGCTGCTGAAATATCCCAAGGTAGAGAGTAAGTTTCACTCTGAGTGACTAATCTGGTACCTTCCATACTTCCTCAGAAGGATAGCAATCTTGAAATTGTAAAGTCCCACAGCCTTAGCCTTTCTTCCCTTCACCTTTCGAATTGTCTTTGTATTTGTTCTCTGTGGTTGTTGAGACTTAGTAGCTTGTATTTATCATCTGACCTTCTTTGTCAAGGCTTCTGCTCAGATTGACTTCCACTAGACTGACATCAAGGAAGACAGTGACTTTTTTTCTGCTTTTCTAATTCCCAAAGAGCCTTTCTTGATTTCCTGGGCTCAAGTTTGTTTCCTGCATCTATAAATCCAAAGCAGAGCAACTTTCCATCTCTTTGATTCTGCTATCACCTCTCCTAACTCTTACCTGCCAGTTTCTCTAGTTTCAGATACACGACTACTCATGGCCAATATGGATAATCTGTCTAATGTATTCATTTCTCAGGAACTTAGTGAGAGCTGCCAAGTTCCCTCTGACCTTATGCCATCCTTATGTACATAATGTTGAAGACAAGGATTTGAAAAAATGTAGGGGTTGTTTATTAATGAGCAGAAATGAAACTGGTCCAAGGCTATGTTTAAATCTAAACCCAGACAAGCATGTGCAAGTACCAAATGCTTACCTTTACAAATTATGGATTCATGTGTCTGTAAATGTCTACCATAATGGACACAAAAATATCCACTTAGTTAAAAATTGTCACCTACTTGAACATACATTCAGATAAGCATAAATATGGAGGTAAGCACCACATTGAACATACACATGGTAGACATGCTACAATGAAACGTCCTAAAGCATGCATGTATTAAAATGTTTGCCTGCAGAGACTGGTGGGCATGTACACAAAAACATGGCCTCAGATACACAGATGTGAAGATGTAGATATGAATTGCATACACATTGATTACGTTCCCAGAAGAATCCAACTAAGACTGGTACAGATAAAATCAATCAATCAGCATGGGCATTGTAGTAGTTTGAATGAGAATTGTCCTCCAACCTTACGATCTCTGTTGGAGTAGGTTTGGGTGGTATATCCTCACAGGGGGAAGTATGCCACTTGACCTTGGATTTGAAATTAAAAGACCACATTCCAAAGTCAGTTTGCTCTTAGCTTTGTGTTTGGGGTTGAAGAGGTTAGCGCTCACCTTCCTGCTACTTCTACAGTGCCTGCCACTAGCTACCATGCTATCCACCATCCCTCTGGAATGGTAAACCCAAATAAACTTCTATACTTTGTCTTGGTCATGGTGTCTTATCACAGCAACAGAATAGTAACTAATACATACATGTTGCAACATGCATTCTCACACAGACCCCAAACAGGTACTCAAGATGATACACATAGAATGTGTAAACAAAGCTAAGCCAGGAAAAAGCACTTGTTGTAACTAACTAGTCAAAATGATAATAACTTGAAGACATTTATAAACACAGAGAACTCTTGGGTACAACAGTGACTTGCAAGGAAGGAGAAAAAAGAAACAACAAGTGGATGTTTAAGGTAAGGAGGGAAGATCGACAGCAAGGTAAAGTCTTGTGCAGGCTTCAGCTCCATCCAGAACAGTCTAAACATCTAATAATAATCTATGCTTGCTCAGAAGTTGCGTAATAGAGCACCAGTCTCCCAGAACAAATTTTCACAGCTCCAGAGGTAGAAGGGTAGTAATGATTGACTTCAGTAAATAAGTACTGGGGAGGGAGTTTTCTCAAACAATCTCCTCTGGTCCTGGAGGCACTCAAGGCAAGACAGGCCATTGCTACAGTTCTTGCTTTCCCCCTCCATAACTAGATGTTAGGAGCCTGTTGCTGAAAACACCAACTTTGGCTGCAGGACATGGAGAGATCAATCTTGAACTGACCAGAAAATTGTCTCCTTGCTGTCTAACTTTCATAGTGCTAGAAGGTGTGGGGTAGAGAATTCTGTGGGAGAACCCCTGACTATGGTCTTACACTGCTGGACTCTCTATGCTACAATAAAAACCAGAGATTGCAAAAGGCAGGTTGAGGTTTAGAGTAACATCAATTCATCTCCTTTTTCTTATAGATTAATAACCTTCAATAACACTTGGATAAAATAGCTAATATTTGTTGGTTTTATGTGTTAACTCATACATTACTACCAAGAGATACATAAACTCAGTCCTTGAAGCCCTAAAATTCAATTTGTCAATAAAGTCAGCTCTTAAAGGACACACAACAACAGAAAGAAATTTAGGGAGACTGACTGGGTTATGAGGTGGTGTAGGGTGGTATCTGCCCAAGTCAGGGTTCCATTTCATGCCTTACCCTTGCTCTTAATCACTCAACCAGAAAGGATAACTGAGGCCCATCAAAGGGGATTTTCTGCTTCACCACTAACTCATTGGAAGCCTGTCTTGAGGTACTGCCTCTTGCACATGTCTCTCCCAGGTGACTGCAGGCATCCATCCCTTATTTGCATACCACTAACTCTCCCATGCGATTTCAGTTTCTGCTCTAAAATCCATGGGCCCACAAAAATCAGTAAGAGCAAGTATACTTGATCTCTCTTGAGCTCTTTAAGCTCAGTTCCCATTCTGGCTCTCCCATACCCAGGCCCTGTACAGATCACTGAGCCTGCCTGAACACTTGGGGTTCTTCCTAGTGCCACCTTTACTGAGAAATAAATTCTCCAAGTTTTTCCCTTTCTCCTATTCAAGTGGAAACAGCAGGGGAGGAGAGGTTCAGGATCAAGCTTGTTATAAGGCTAAAAGAGAGATTGCCACCTGCCAAGCTTAGGGTAATTCATTCCCTTCCTCTTTCTCCTCCAAAATCAACAAAGAGCTTTTTCTCTGCCTTCTTCCCTGTCCTTCATTTCTCACCAACAGGTCTCAGAGTTCAAGAACCTAGAATGAGATAAGCAACAGGCCAGTCAGGGGAGTTCCAGCCTCATCCACCTGTCCAAAGCTAGGGCACCACCATGAATGGTCCATCCATCAAAGCCTGCCAGTGTCCACCAGAGGACCCTCCCAGGGTCTAGATGGTGTCAAACTCAGCAAGTACTTTGTGCTTCTGTCAGAAGCTGCTGGAACCAAATCCAGATCCTGTATGATGCTGCTCTTATGCCTTCAATTCAGGCAATTCCAGTGACAGCTTACCTCCACTCTCAAGGATTCTCAGCCCAAGAGCTGATTCTACTAAAATCCCTTTGGTGTCAAGTTCAGTGCTCACTTCTTCCTGGCCTCAGTGCTTTCTGGGGACAATCTCAATGCCAACCCCATCCTCCTCCCCCTGGGTCTGCTTGATACTGACATAGCAACTGCCAGTGTCTTTTCTTTTGTCCACTGCAAATCCCAATCTCTGCACCCACCCTGTCCCCGATTGACTCCCAGAATGAGCTGGGCTAGGCAACGAAGAGAAAAGCAAGTTGAATTACAACTCTTTTGTGATCTGGCAATTTCAGTGAGGCTGATAAGGTGACAATTCATAATTACTAACATTCCCAGATGGGATACATATGATCTTCCTGGGGTACAGGATTATCAAAAGGTAACTACCTTAATTATTCTAACAAAATTTTTCAATGTGGGAGAACAGTGGACTATTCCCTTCTCTGTGGCCACCCTTAGCATACGAGGGTCCTCTTCTGTTCCCCATGTTGGATGCTTACCAAAGCCCCTCCCAGTTTCCCTCTTCTGGCTAATAATATCACCAGGCAATGCAGGCATCAGTCTGCTTACCACACACTCTGATTATAACCTGCTCCATGTTCTATTTCAACTCGTTGGGAACAGAGTCTAGGAAAAGAAAATTAAAATGTAGGCTAAGGAATATTTTGATGACTTAGCTGTAGGTTTTCATGTATGTGGCCCCCATGCCACCATTGGTGTCCTATTCTCAGTGCACCCATATATAAAATAGGGAAATTTTGTAAATTACAACAGCCATGAGCCAGTGAACCTGGTGGTCTTTCCTGAGGATCTGAATAGGAAAGGGGGGGTGCTTTTGTAAATTAGAACTTCTCTACTGTATTGGTGGTTGATATCATCATTCCTTAAGACCTAGACAGACCCTCTGATGATCATGATTTTCAGATACTGTCTCTAGTACTGTGCAAAGTTCCTTTGAAACAGGACTAAGGTCTTCCTCAACTTTTCCAGATCCTACATTCCTATCCTGGCCTTAGGAACTTCCATAATGGTTCTGGGTATCAAGAGATAGCCTAGGGCCAAAACCAAAGTATATCCCACCTGGGTACAGGTGTTAACTCCAAGATCCTGTTGGGATTTCCGTATGTTTCTCCAAGGTACTCCTCTTCCAAAGTCATTCTTGCCTCAAGATCCACAACCCATATTCCTGAAGTCTCCCCTTCCTTAAATCCAGGACTATCTTCACTGAAAGGCTCCCAGAGTTGGGGGTAGTGGTGTTGGCCTATAATTCCAGCACTCAGGAGACAGACGTCGGTAGATTTCTGTGATCAACATATTGAGGTTCAGGCCAGTCAGGATGACATAGTGAAAACTTGTCTCAAACAAGGAAGAAAATGAACTTCCAAATTCATAGCCATTCATCCTGTTTCAAGCCAATGAGACCCTAATATGACATCATTTTGGTCCTTCCCAGGAGAACCCACACCCAGAGCTCAGAAGTATCTCCAATACAAATTTTCTGAAGGATTCAGTTCTGGCTGCTGTCTACTGTCCCTTTCCTCTGTAACACAGAACCCTGGAGAACTTCTCCTCAGAAGTCACAATTTCAGTCCACTCCCTGTTAATCCCTCATGGGGTCTCCTCCTCCTCCACGATTGTTGGCTGTGTCTCAAGCTGGTTGCGTGACCAGGGTTGGTAGTCTGGAGGAGAAATAAAACAGTTGCATAATCAAGGCCAAAGGCCACCTTCCATTTCAGGATGTATAAAAACAAACCAATCCAGCCATTGCCATCTGTCTGTCACCCACATCGCCACCATGCTGGCCTCTGGACTGCTCCTGGTGACTGTGCTGGCCTTCCTCATTGTTCTGGTCTTCATGTCTGTCTGGAAGCAGAGGAAAGTTTCAGGAAAGCTGCCTCCAGGACCCACCCCACTGCCCTTCATCGGGAACTACTTTCAGCTGAATACAGAGCAGATATACAACTCCCTCGTAAAGGTGCCACTGGGCAGGGCAAAGGGTAGAATAGGGGACAGAAGGATGTCCAGTTTTCATAGACACTTTGTAGTAGGGTATTGACCCCAGGAGTGTAATTTTAGACTGGGGGAATTGTGAAGAGCCAGCAACCAACTCCTAGGCATGTGAGACTACATCTTGGGGCATCCCATCTGATAGCTGTTAGAACTCCAGAGAAATGAATCCCAGCATTGTCATCAAGGTCTGACCTTTTTTCTCTAACTTTGCTCATCCACCTTCATCAGTTCAGCGAACTTTATGGTCCCGTGTTCACCATCCATCTGGGGCCTCGTCGAATTGTGGTACTATGTGGACAGGAAGCAGTCAAGGAGGCTCTGGTGGATCAAGCTGAGGAATTCAGTGGGCGTGGCGAATCGCCCATCTTTGACTGGCTCTTCAAAGGCTATGGTGAGGGGGGCAAGATGCAGGGAAATGTGTCAGGGAACAATTGGAAGGCATCAGTTTTCCCTGTCTTCTCCTGGACTCTTCCACTCACATCACCACCTCCTGCTGTGTGGGGTATTGGATCCACTGTTTCCTAATCTTCCTGTTTTTCTCTGCTTGTGTCTGCTGACCTCCCTCCCCTACCACACACACACCACCCATGTCTTCTCTTCCTTCTTGGAATTTACCATCTGCATCATGTGCCTCTAAAGAGCTCTGGAGTTTTTGCTCACCCTACTCTATTATTCTTAGCTTCTGTAATTGCCCGGGATGCTGTCTTTCTTCTTTTGGACCATTACTTCGTCCACTGCCAGGCCATCACAGAAATCTGTTCTTAAGCCCAATATCGTGGCAGCAATCTCGCCTCTTCCCAGATTCTCTTTGTCCCTCCTTCCCTATTTCCTCCCTTCTCTAGCTCAATTATAAATCTTTTACAACTTTATCCACCCCCCCCCTAGATCTCCCCAATCTCCCTTCTCTAGCCTCTGTCCTGTCCCTCTGTCTCTGAGCCTCTGGCATCTCTCCTCCTTTTGCCTCTCTCTTTCTACTGTCCTCTAACTAGCTCTTGGGGAACAGAGCAAAGGTGGTGAGTAGTCAGCCACATTCCTCTTCTCTGACCTCTCCCTGCCCCTCACTTTCCGTCCCAGGCTTGGTCTTCAGCACCGGGGATCGCGCCAAGCAGTTGAGGCGCTTCTCCATTGCCACACTGAGGGACTTCGGTGTGGGCAAGCGTGGCATTGAGGAGCGCATCCAAGAGGAAGCAGGCTTTCTCCTGGAGGCATTCCGGAAGACAAATGGTAAGCAGAGCTCCGCAAGTTCTCAGGACTGACCAAGGGGAAGACACCCTAGAAAAACAGCACCAACATCCAGGATGGGAACTAGGCTAGGGAAGACTATTTTGGTCCCTCTGTGGAGCCTGGTGTCCAGGTTTTGAAGGAGTTGGAGAACTCAGCCCTGCAGCACGTGCTCATTTTGAATTCTCTGATACAAAGAATCGGATGCTATCCCATCGTGGAAGCCTTTTTCCTATCTCCCACATCTCGCTCTCCATCCTCCTCCTTACCTACAGGTGCTTTCATTGATCCTACATTCTACCTGAGCAGAACAGTGTCCAATGTCATTAGCTCCATCGTTTTCGGGGACCGCTTTGACTATAAGGATAAAGAGCTCTTGTCACTACTGAAGATGATGATGGGAAGTTTCCAGTTCACAGCTACATCCCCCGGGCTGGTAACTTGTTTTATCTTATCCTACCACCCCCAGACCATAGCTGCCAGCTGACTTCCAAACTGCCAACTCCCGTTTAATAGGTACCTACAAAGTAGCCCGACAGTTGCACCTGAACAGATGTCTAGACAGTCTCAACAGCGAAAACTGAAATCAGAGCCAGCAATACAGTCAGGCATTCACACACATACAGACACACACACACACACACACACACACACACACACACACACAGAGAGAGAGAGAGAGAGAGAGAGAGAGAGAGAGAGAGAGACAGACAGACAGACAGACAGAGAGACAGACAGAGAGACAGAGACAGAGACAGAGAGACAGAGATGGACAGAAAGAGACCTGTCTCAACTGGGCGGACACTACCAGGACAATTCATTTTACTTTCTAACCAAGGTCGCTACAGGGAGACCTGCTGAATGCACTAGCTCCTCTTAGTGCCCAAGTGCCTGCTGCAGCAAAATCCAAGGCACTCAAATCATGTGCCATCTGCAAAACGTAAAGTGCAAGTCCACTGGACTATGTAGACGAGCTCTTTACTCAGCCATGGAAATACCTAAACCCCTGCATCTCTAAGCAGAATTTCTGCACTGACTGTCCCTCAAACACCCCAGTTAAAGGTCCTCCAACACAGCTCACTCACACATCTAAGTGGCATCCGCCTTGAAGCAGTTTTAACAGCAATGCAGGTGAACATGACTATCAGCACTACTTTAAAATAATTATTATTTTATTTTTTGGGGAAAGCATATATTGTGTATTGAGCCTATTCACCCCCATATCCTCTACCTTCCCTTTTCTCACATTTCCTCCTCCTTTACTCCACTTTGACCTCTGAGACAGTTTCTCTTCTCCTTCCAAATGATGCACATGTACACACATATGCATAGATATGTACACACATGATTTACTGTATGTATACCACAAATGAATATAATTACATGAGTTATTTCTCTAAGACTGGTTAATAGAGTTATCTCCAGGTAGACCCACTTTCCTGACCCACTTTGTTTTTAATAGCTGAAGAATAATTCAGTTATGTATATGGATCACATTTTTTCCTCCATTACGCTGCTTTTGGACACTTAGGTTGATTGCATAATTTAGCTATTGTGACTATCCAGCACTCATTGAATGCTGGAAAACCTGTTAGAACTCACCAATACAAACCCCATTAGTATATGAACAGTTGTCCCCAGCTGATGCAACCAACTGCCTAAACATCTACATAGGTAACTCCTACCCAACCACCTAAACGTCTACATAGTTAACTCCTACCCAACCTCCTAAACATCTACATAGGTAACTCCTACCAACCACCTAAACATCTACATAGGTAAATCCTACCCAACCACCTAAACATCTACCTAGGTAACTCCTACCCAACCACCTAAACATCTACATAGGTAACTCCTACCAACCACCTAAACATCTATATAAGTAACTCCTACCCAACCACCTAAACATCTACATAGGTAACTCCTACCCAACCACCTAAACATCTACATAGGTAACTCCTACCCAACCTCCTAAACATCTATATAGGTAACTCCTACCCAACCTCTTAAACATCTACATAGGTAACTCCTACCCAAAGAATGGATGCTTCCCACCCCAGTCTCACCTGAATACCCCAAACCTGTATGTGTTCCCAAATCCATCTCACTTAAAATCTTGAACAATAGCCCTCAGGCTTAAATTATAAGAAGTCTGTTACCGCATCGCACCATCTGGTACCTAAACTCCTGGACAGTGATGTGAACACCCCTCATCCTAAGACAGATGCCACATCTGTTGGGTTTTGTCTAGTGACAACTGCCTTGGTTTCTCATTCCCTTCCCACCATCAGCTCTTCGAGATGTTCTCTTCAGTGATGAAGCACCTGCCGGGACCACAGCAACAGTCCTTTAGGGAAATGCAGGGTTTGGAAGACTTTATAACCAAGAAGGTGAAACAGAATCAGAGCACCCTGGATCCCAATTCCCCAAGGGACTTCATTGACTCCTTTCTCATCCGTATGCAGGAGGTAAATCCTGAAGCCAGGGAGTATGGTGGGAGGTTCAAAGCCAAGTAGGATGAAATCAGGGACAGGTAGGAGGGAGTTAACAGAGGAAAACTCATCAGCCCCCTCACTATAATCCTCATTCAACATCACTGTTACATCCACTATCAGTTGTTCTAAGGAGGGTGTACAGGTTAAGACAGTCGCCAATGCGCAAGGCTGTCATGTTACAGGCACTGTTTTAAAGGCTTAGTTTGATTCGTGTATTTAGTACCCACAACTCTTGAGCAAGGTTGTGTTTTGACTCCTATTCTACAAATGAGGGGGCTGCAGCTTATGAATATAGGTGACCTGATATCAGAGCAAGAAGGTCATGAATCCTACCTCACTGACATGGGCTGGTGCTTTTAGCTAACACACCATTTGCCTTTGCCTGTCCTCATGGCCACTTACATCTGTGTGATCTGAGCTTTACTGTGGAATGGATATGGAGATTTTGTCATTATTGCTTTTAAGACAGAATCTTGCTAATGTAGACCTATCTGTCCTGAAACTTGCTGTGTAGGCCAGGCTAAGCCTCAAACCAGTGGTGGTCCTCCCAAGTCTGCTTTCTGGAGGCTGGGATTACCAGTGTGTGGTGTCTGGCCAAAAAGAAACTTCATGAACTCTGAAGTGCTGAGGGTTGAGGGGAGAAATTTCTTTAGGGAATATTAAGGATTATAATTAAAAAGTAGTTTCCTGTTGTCTAAAACTCATTTTCTGAGTGTTGGAGAAGTGGCCCAGTGGTTGTGAGCGCTGACTGCTCTTCCAGAGGACCAGGGTTCAATTCCCAACACCCACACAGCAGCTCATAGGTGCCTGTAACTCCATTTTCAGGGAACCCAACACCCTTGCTTAAACACAAAAGCACATTAAATAAAAACTGGCCATTTAATTGATCATTAAAAATCAGACAATCAACTAAGTCATGAATGACAGAAGAGCAATGGATTAGGGCACTGAATTACTTCCAAAGCTCTGGAACGTGAAGAGAAGCTGTCATAGCCAGAATCCCCCTTCTCTCCTTTGATCTGGGTCAAAGCGAAGTGAATTAGGGCAGGGAAAGCAGTTAAAACAGAAGGGCACCAAGAGCATAAGGAGTGGGTTGGACGTGAATTCTTCCCTCCCCACAGGAGAAGAAGAACCCCAATACAGAGTTCTCCATGAAGAATTTAGTGCGAACTACACTGAACCTCTTCTTTGGTGGTACAGAGACTGTCAGCACCACCCTTCGCTATGGCTTTCTGTTGCTCATGAAGTACCCAGATATACAGGGTAAAACTGCATGGGGGGTGATATTGTAGATTCTAAACATGCTTCTCTGATCATCAATAATATTCCCAAGTTCTCTCAAGAAACTAGACTCTTAGATAGCTACTCCCTTCTCTGCAGAGACAGAGAGAAGCTGGTAGGCACCAGCTTTTAGCTGTTTTATCAACTTTTGTGTTGCTCAAGTGAACCTCAAAGGACCCATTTCCCTGTCCCTAAGACTCTGCCTAAATCTCCTTCCAAACAATTCTCACAAAATTCTGGTATGATCCAGTTAATATGAACCTCGTCCAACAATGCCTATGACTTGCATGTACTGAAAATGATTGACAATGCCATGCACTGCTTAATGTCCTCAGTGTAGTTTTACACTTTATCAGTAGGGCCTGCTTGTTTGTCCCAGATGCCTGGTTAGCTTAGCCCCTAAATAACCCCACAGAAACTGTATTAATTAAATCACTGCTTGGCCCATTAGCTCTAGCTTCTTATTGACTAAGTCTTACATCTTAATGTATCTTATTTCTATTAATCTGTGTATCACCACATGGCAGTGGCTTACTGGGTAAAATTCCCAGTGTCTGTCTCCTGCTACTCCAGCACTTCTTCCTAACTCCTGTCTCCCAGCATTTAGTCCAGTCCTCTCTACCTACCTAAGTTCTGCCCTATCAAAAGGCCAAGGCAGTTTCTTTATTCATTAATGACAGTCACTGCACACAGAGGGGACATCACTACACTTTTGCATTATCATCCTTAGGGTAAGGTTTTTGGACTCTTAAACACATGCCTCTTCTTCTCAGCCAAAGTCCGAGAGGAGATTGACAGGGTGATTGGCAAGAACCGGCAGCCCAAATATGAGGACCGCTTGAAGATGCCCTACACAGAGGCTGTCATCCATGAGATCCAGAGATTTGGAGACATAGTTCCCATGGGGGTGGCTCGCAGGGTCACCAAGGACACCAAGTTCCGTAACTTCCTCATCCCCAAGGTACTGACTCACCTAGCCTATAGTAATCTCCAGCCTTCTTCATGGCCCTGCAGGCCCTCTTCCTCATTAGAAATCACCAGTCTTCTCTCACTTTCTAAGTGACATGCTCTCTCTGCCACCACATACCTCTATCTTCCTACACAGAATCTCCTTTATCTTGGGTTTTCTCCCAGACTTTCTGACCCAGGAGTTTCAACTCCATGTCTTTCGATCATCAAGTCTCAAGACATAAACTCAATTTACCTAGATCTGTTGTCAGAGACAGGAGTGACATGTCTGCCATGTATCCTGTTTAGGGGTACATAAATCCAATACCCTTCAATTCCTGACTTGGGAGAAATGAAGCACATATCCTTCTACCTCCCACCACAGAACAGAGACCCCATGACACCCATTCATCCTGTCTCCTATAACATGAGCTCCACATCTCGTGTCTCAAGGATAATGAACTCACATTTCTCAAAGGCTCTCCCTCAAAGCCCCCTCAACTCCCATGTATTATATTTATGTCACCCCTATAGGCCAACAGAACACCCATCGAAATCTAACTTATCAATCAAACATTCCTCTTCAACAGGGCACTGAAGTGTTTCCTATGCTGGGCTCTGTGCTGAAGGACCCCAAGTTCTTCTCCAACCCCAAAGACTTCAACCCAAATCACTTCCTGGATGACAAGGGGCAGTTTAAGAGGAGTGATGCATTTGTACCCTTTTCTTTAGGTAAGAGGTCACTGTCTAGTGCTAGGCCACTGCTCACACCAACAGATCTCTGTATCGCTCCCTTTTGGAAGATACTCTTGGATCAAACCCCCAGCCAGTTGGCTGCAACTCCCATATTGTCCAAGCACTGAACCATGAAATTGATGATCAAGCTGTCGTGATAGATTAGGGGAAATGAAGTCTCACACAACCAATTCATAGAAAGGTGTGACAGCTGCATGTGGTGGCACTTGTCTTTAATCCCAGCACTCAGGAGGCAGAGACTGGAGGATTTTAGTGAGGTCAAGGAAAGCCTGGTCTACAGAGTGAGTTGTGGTCCAGCTAGGGCTGTTTCACAGAGAAATCATGTCTCAAAAAATCAAAAAAAAAATAAGAAAGAAAAGAGGGGAGGGAAGGAGGAATGAAGGAAGGAAGGAAAGAAGGAAGAATGTTGCTACATGGCATCCACACTGGAGAGCACCTCTCTAGAGAAGGGAATCCACAATTCTCATTATTATATCCTGGTGACAATCAACTCACCACAAGTACAAAGGAAACTGAGGTTCAGAGATTAGAGCCTTCTTTGAAGGTCTCAGCCTTTGCTCCCAGAGAGAATACAGCCAGAGATTTGCTATGAGGATGACATCAAGAACTGGCTTCACCCTCCCTGTCTCTTCTCTTTAGGAAAACGGAACTGCTTTGGAGAAGGACTGGCTAGAATGGAGCTCTTTCTCTTCCTCACAAACATCCTGCAAAATTTCCACTTCAGGTCCCCACAGGCACCCCAGGATATCGATGTGTCCCCTAGACTCCTGGGTTTTGCCACTATCCCACCAAACTACACCATGAGTTTCTTATCCCGTTGAGCCAGCACTGGAATAGCATAAAGGGAGGGATGGAGATCAGGCTAGTGGGAAATTGGGATTTAGAAGGGATCAGGGGAACAGGAAAGAGAGAGAGAGAGAGAGAGAGAGAGAGAGAGAGAGAGGACATGATAGACTTGCAGAAGACAGACTGCCACTTCAAAGGTAGAGCACGAGAAAGGGGAAATTTATACTATGTTATAAATAGTAATAATTATAATGGTAATAATAAAGTAGACATTATTTATAGAATAAGTATTCCTTGTCAAGTGGTGTGGGAGGTCCAACTGTCTGTGTGTTGCTTTTCTTGATTAATGAATAAAGAAACTGCCTTGGCCTTTTGATAGGGTAGAACTTAGGTAGGTGGGGAGACAGAACTGAATGTTGGGAGAAAGAAGGGCAGAGTCAGGGAGACATCATGGATCTGGCGCTGGAGGTAGACGTTCTTTGCCAGTAAGCCACTGCCACACGGCAATATACAAATGAATAGAAATGGGTTAAATTAATATGTAAGAGTTAGCCAATAAAAAGATAGAGCTAATGGGCGAAGCAGTGATTTAATTAATACAGTTTCTGTGTGATTATTTGGAGACTAAGCTAGCTGGGCAGCTGGGATGAACAAGCAGGCCCCCTTCATGCTACACTTATAAATGCATCGGAAAGGAAGAAAATTCAAGTCCATTTTACTATTGAAGCACATTCTTGACCTTACAATGTTTCCTTAGTCTAAGTTTATGGAAGTCTCACCTATTCCAAGAGCAGTAACACTTTAATGAATATCCATGTGAATTGTCCGTGGGCAGATTTTTTTTCAAATATCACCACAATTTAGTTAAAGCAACAAAAACTCAGTTTACAACCTCATCCTCTTGCCCAGAGGTATTCAAGAGCTTTGAGTGGGCCACCAACGTGGTTTCACCACACTTTGATTTACTTTTGTAGAACTGATTACCAAGGCATCATCACTCAAGCATTGTTTATTAAAGTGAATGTGTTCGACTCAGAGTCCATATGGCAAACTGGAATTGGGCCTATTAATGAGGTTCTTGGTGGAGAAAGACATTTTCAGAGGTAGCCAGGAAATCTTAGGGACAGCACACTGACATGAGTGTGTGCTGATTCATGAATGTGTGTGTAAGTGCACATTGTAGGGATGCACACGACCACATCTTCTGCTATGAGTTAGTTTCCAAAGGCTGAATGTTTGCTTACCAAACTGGGATCACAGCCAGTAAAGAGTTTTAGAAGCATATACTCCAGTGGCACTACTATAAATCTGATGAGTGGACAGTTGAACAAGGCACAATCTCGATGTCGGTGGATACATCAGCTGGGCCTCTTTTCTTATTTTTAAGGTTGTCAGTATCAGGCATACCCAGGAAGAAGCAGGGGAATCAGGGCATCGAGATGTCATCTTTGGGAACTGCACTGCAAGCTCCCCTCTTCCCCCCTCCCCGTGGCAAACTCCAATCCTACATGCTGCAGATGGTTTCTGGGGGACTGGTGGAGAAAGGAAGAGAGTGGGGAAGATTGTTCAGTTGAATCACGAGGGCCTGAGTTTGGATCCTCAGCACCCATCAAAAGTCAGGCCTAGTGGCACATGCTTGTCACCTTAATGCTGGGAGGGTGTTGAAGACAGCCCAGTCCAATCATATCATGAATTCTTAATTTAATTAGAGATCCTGTCTCAAAAAAAACAAAGTAGAGTGACACTGGAGAAGACACGTAGTTTTGTCCTCTGGGCCCTACATGCATACACACACACCTGCATGCACATACAAAATGTATACACACACAGAGGCAAAAGGGGTTAGTTCAATTTTAGCAATGAGACACACCTTCATGGGAAGAGACAGTCACTATCAAGTCTTTGTCTGAAAGGGAGGGAGGAAAAAGAACTAATTAACCCTGTAATGTTGGGAAAAATATATACTCATGAAGTCACGATCCAGTTTACAGAGACAAGGTGTACTGTGTCCAACCATGTTCTGCTCAATAACAGAGTACACATCCTGCTGAAGCAGGCCTGGAACATTCCTTGTGATAAGCTCTGATGAACAAGGTGAAATGTAGCCAGAAATCAATAGCAAAGTTAAACCACAAAAGTCACAAAGAGAGGGAAATCAAGAAATAAGCTTGTTAGTTTTTCTTTCACTGAAAATTAGAAATTACACATATTAGGGGCTGGAGACATCTTAGTGTCTCTAAGCAGAAGATGCTCTTGCAGAGGACTTGAATTGTGTTCCCTGCACTTGTGTCCAGCAGCTCAAAGCAACCTGTACCTATAGCTCCCAGGGATCTAACATCCTCTTCTAGATAACATGGGCACTAGAGGTTTACATACATTCACACTCAGAGACACACACAAATAGACATGATTTAAAAATAAGCCTCTTAAAAATATATACATTAATGGAGTACAATTGTTATTTTGATACATGTATCAATTATGCAATGACTAAGTCACACTAACAAAAACAATGCAGATTTACAGAACAGTGGTTCAAAGAAATATCATATGGTAAATCATAAAACACTGAAATAACAGAACAAAAATAAGTATGGACAAACTTACAGAATGAGCCATAGCAGAAAGCATCGTAAATTCATATAATGGCTTTTAAAGAAAGCTCAGATTCATAAATGTTCTTTAAAATTTCCCATGGGTCAGAAAGATTAATCTCAAAGAGAATTTTTTCTATTTTTAATTTTAGAAATCATTTCCTTTAGTTTTGAGATTATAATATTCTAACATCATTTTCACCTTCCCTTTCCACCCTCCAAACCCTCACGGCGACAACACTAAAGAAGAAGCCATAGTCCAAAACTATAAAGAGGAGATGAAACACTTAACAAGGCAGGTTAAAAAAGAAGCATGGAGGTGACTCAGCTAACAAAAATAAATCTCCCCTCCAACCTTGGTATCCAACAGGAGCTCAAAGTACCCTAGAAACTGAAGGCACCCAGCTGAGCACAGGCTGATCCCATAACTTCAGGAGGGAACATAGTGAAGATATAATAGAGGGACCACCACAGCATGGGCCTGAGAATGAGGAAGAAGAAACCACCCATGAGCAAGGCTGTTTTTTTAGGTACTACATCCTTTTATGTAGTGACCACTAGCTGTTCACATACTTTATCAGGTCACTGGCATATCACATCAGTAGTTACAGAGAAAATGCTGAAGGAGGGAGTTCTTGGGTTCATTATAACACAGTTTTTGATACTCAGCTAAGTGTGCTGTCTTGTTGCCCTCTCGGTTTTCAGTCAAATATTTCAATACTGAGTAAAGAAAGAGTGATTAAGAATAGCTGGCCCAGGAAGCTTGGGTTCTGTCTGTATGTCATAACCCTCTTCTCTCTCAAACATTTGAGCTGTGCCATTTCCTCATGTCACACACACACACACACACACACACACACACACACACACACACACATATCAAATGAGAAACACCCATCAGGAACAAGAATAAGAGGTACTGTGGAGAAGGGGGAGGAAGGATCAGAGGAACCAGAGGGCTCAGGGACAAGCAGAGTGATGACGCAGTGGGATCGGTAATGAAAAGTCCCCAGACTATCTTACAAAAGATACAGCCTTAATAAAAACAGAAGGGAAAACTTACACAGAATTTCACCTGGCTGGAATGCTAGATCCAAGCCAGGTCAAGAAGGAGAGAGAGAGGGTGGGGGCTTTCACCTTCCAAGTTTATAGGTAAACTTTTGCCTTAGGGCAACACGCCCCATGAACAGAATGTGATTAGCTGAACTCCCCTATCATCTCCCCCTTTTTACTAAAATTAAGACAGAACAAAACCAAATACAACTATAAATAATAGAAGCACATAATAAATATAAAGTTACAAACAACAAACAATATTAAGCAAGAAACATATAGCAAAAGTTTTACTAAACATTCTATTTCAGGGAATCTAAATAATGTAGATGGTAACTACAACTATCTAATCTTCAACTCCATCAAAGATCTGAGAAGGGAAATAATTTTACTCAAGCAGCCCGGAAGTACAAGCGGTAAACTTCCGAAATGTACAACAAATGGAAGAGACAACTGAATACCTAGGCAATCACCCAATGTCTCGTATGCAATGTTGAGTCAACCAACTTTGGCTAAGGCCTGATGTAACTGACATGCCATTTTTCAAAGGCAAGAAACCTTTTAGGACTCTCTCACCCTGTCGTGGCAAGATAAGACAATCCTGCTTTTATCCATTTATGGATATTCTGTAATTCTGTCAGTGGTTAAGGTATGGGCTTTTTCTTTGCCCAAAGGCCGGTTCTGCCAGGAAGAAGACAAGCTCCAAGAGGAGTGTCTTTGGTGCTCAACATTCTCTCAGAAGTAGAGTGGCGATGCCGGGAGCGACTGTGTCTCACTATTATAGAACTATGAGTTAGATTAAAGGCCATTTTCTACAGCTCTTCAAAGAAGTTGAAGATTATTCTGTTTATACTAAGTGTGATCTCTATGCACCTAAATAACCTGATTAGCCTAAATATAAATATAACAAGCACATATGACTATTGATTTCTATCTATCTAACTTGAAGACTAAGAGAATGAACAACTGTGTGGAGTGAGGACAATGACCTCCAAATGTAAACAATGTATATCATTACATAAATATCTTAATCAGAGGTAAAAATGTAAATATATGTATATATATCAATATAAATTGAGGTAGAAGCATACTCACATACAATATTCAATATATCAATGTACAAAAATCAACACCAATACAATTTTCTAAAAACAATAACTCACAAATACCAATATACTATTATCCCATCACCAATCCATCCCCCCCTTTTTAATGATAAACACCCCTGAGCTTATAAAATACTTCCCCCATTCCCTCATCCCTATATCAATTATAACCAACCCCTAAATGATGTCCCTAAACCTGAGGTCAAATTCTACTGGGAGAGGGGACGTCGTCCTCTAGAATTGTTTCCAGCTGTCATGGGGGCGTCATTTCTCTTAGGGGGTCCTGTGAAAATAATTGATGGTAAAATACCCATAAAAACATTTGGTGTGAGAAAGTTACAAATAGTCTCTGAGTAGTTTGAGGAGGTCTTGCCAGAATGTTGTCAAATTTTGTGCATCATTCGGAACTGTTTTGTGTAGCTGGTACCAAAAAAACAGATCTAAAAATAGTGCTATCAATATTATGACATCATAGTAATCAGGTGGAGTTGGTGTTGTGGGGCCCCATCTTCATCCTAGAAGCTTTAA